AGTCTCATACATCTCTCCTAGTTGAAATCAGATGGAGCTAGAAATGGTTAGGAGAACAGAGGGGAAATTGTCAGACTTGCTGTCATTATTAAATGTTCCAGAAAACATATAAATCACCTGTGTTTACGTTTATTGTGCAATATTTATGTAAAAATATAATTTGCAATCTAGTCCTATTCTGATTTTGTTGTTGTTCTCAAATATTTTGATGCGTATGTTACTTACGTCTTACTTAGAACGTCACTTCGTCAAATCGGAAAACAACACGATTTTGTAGATTGACTCTACTTCTCAGGAACTCATATAAAAACTATAATTCAGATATCAGGCAGAAAGACGTTCATGACATAAAGTCAGCAAATATTTGAAAGTGGTGCTAGTCCTAATAACTGGGGGAGGTCTGTTAGCTAGGATACCTTTTTTTCCAACTCCAGTCACCAGCACTAACGCTTTTCTCAGCCGCCCAGGATTGTATTAACCTGGCATCTGCTAATCGCCAGCACTGCTTTGGGGCCATTGCAGCAGCTTGTTGCCGCTAGCCTTGCCAGATAACCTGCTTTCCTGTTACCTGTTGACCCAAAATAGTGTTACGTCTTTATGATTGGACCGTAAAATTTGCGTATTTACCATAACTTTGTGTTCTACAATTTTGGGGATTTTTATGAACCACCCCCTCACTGAGAAAATTTGCTACTTCTGCTCTTTAAAAAGTCAGGACTAAGTACTTTTCTCCACATAAACTCCACACCCTATGCAAGTCCCGAATAAGACCGAGCCCAAACAAAAGCTTCTTTTCTTTAGAGATGTGATCGCGTTCAAAGCCGCCTGACTTTTGAAATTTATATTTTTATATCTTTTAACTAGCGAAAATGAAATCTATACCATACCTACCAGTCAACAGTATACAAAGGATATTAATTTTTTATTTGCTTGTATCACGTCACAAATTGCATGTCTCATAATGATCCTAAATTGTACAAAAAATGACGTCTAAGGAGTTTATGGTAATTTTGTAATAGTTTTGTTGATTATAAAATTATGTTTATAGACTGTATCACATACGTACAATATATAACAATTATCGGTGGGTATTGCTCATTTCTCTCTGTCAAAAATAATTGTCGATCGCTTTCCTGAATATCAATATTAATATGGAGGCAAACGCTACAACACATTAAAATAGAAGATAACTTGATATTTATCGAGACCCAAAGACAACGTCAAATTTTCAAAAACGTCTGCCATAACGGTCGTATTCATTATTACATTCATGCTTTTGACAAAACGCTAAAATAAATATTTCGTTATGTTCAGATTCCATCTTTATGGACAATTTGACTATCTCTTTGATAATCAACACAACCCTAGTACTAGCGTTTGCTATCAGATATTGTTGTCCAAATTATGAGACAAGTATGTCATCTGAAACTCACATTTTTTCAATCCTCAAGTACTTTCTGGAATTAAATTCATGACATTTAATTATTTTTGTCGGACTCTTGAACTTGGCCAATATGGCCAATAAATTAGAAGGAACCAGTATCTATTCCAGAGCCCATCAAATATTAAATAGCACCTAAGTCTGCTCCGATCAAAAAAACGTTGAACAGAAAGCTCCTCAAGGTTGCCTTTAAACTATGTAAAATACGTCAATAGGTACAGTCGTTAAACCAAAATCAAGATAGTTGATTCCGAGAATTAGCGTTTGTTATCTGCCACAGCGGTATCGTAAAATAGAATTTGTAAAATTCTTAGCTGATTTTTAATTTTATGTCGTAAATCCACGGGTCTCTTGAAATCTGGAAACATTATTAAGCTGTTTATTGCCCATTATATTTTATTTTTATTTCTTGTTTTCCATAGATATTTGAGTACTGTTTTTCAGAGAGATTGCATTCTCACATTGTCAAGAATAACATATACTAAGTGACATACTCGTATAAATCCGAACACCCAGTTTAAATGGTTTTATTTTAAGAAAAGTTGGTGAATGTATTTATCTTACTATAAATAACAAGTGAAAAAATTTTCAGCCTTATCAGTTGGACATTCCGGTTTTTATACTGCTTTTTTTTAATTCACTAACGCTCTAATAATGAATATTTCAGTCGCAGTAAAGAATCAACGTTGGCGGATTTTGGTTCTTGACATCCTTTACGATCGGTTACGATGCCTAGAGTACGGAGACCTGTAGGATTTCGTCAACTTAGTGAGTTTGATAGGGGCCGTATAGTGGGACTTCGGGGAGCTGGACTTTCTTTTCGGGCAATTGCAGTTAGAGTGCAAAGAAGTGTAGACACTGTGGTTAGGTGTTGTTAGGCATGGCTTCGAGAAGGCCGTACGCAAAGAGCAAGGGGCACTGGATGCCGCCGTAGAACAACAGACCGTGAAGATCGCCGCCTAAGATTATTGGCCTTAAAGGACCGTTTCTCCACTACCAGGTCCACTGCAAATGAATGGTTTGCAGAACACGGAAGGCCTATTGGCATGCGAAGTGTTTACCGACGAATGAGAAGTTTTGGCTTGTTTTCATACCGGCCACACTGGGTCCTCCCTTTAACTCGAGAACACTGACGTAATCACCTTGAGTGGTGCAGACAACGGTCACTCTGGGATCAGGAATGGAACAGTATTGTCTTTAGTGACGAGTCTCGATTTTGTTTAGGCATGCACGATGGTCGTGCCAGGGTTAGAAGGCGACGTGGTGAAAGGAGGAATCCACAGTTTTTGTTGAAAAGCATGTTCATCACACTGTTGGAGTGATGGTTTGGGGTGCTATAGCTTATGGTTCCAGGTCACCTTTAATCTTCATCAGAGGTAACATGAACGCGCAGCGTTATATCCACGAAGTTCTAGAACACCATCTTTTACCCTATCTTGACACCCTGGCAGATCCAACTTTCCAACAAGATAATGCCCGACCACATGTTGCAAGAGTCACAATAGACTTCTTTCAACATAATGATGTCACATTGTTACCATGGCCACGAAGATCTCCCGACTTATCCCCAATTGAGCACGTGTGGGATATGATGGGTAGGAGATTGCTCAATTTGCAACGTCCTCCTCAGACTCTAGAAGCACTTCGAGAGGAGTTGGTGGTTGCCTGGAATAAGATACCACAGGAGGACATTGACCACCTGATCAGAAGCATGCCTAGGCGCGTTGGAGAATGCGTAGCACATCAGGGTGCATCCACACATTATTAAAGGTCAAAGGGCTTTGAAGCAGTGCAATCATTTTGAAATTTTTATCATTTACTTATTATGCTTCATTAAGTACTTATACAAAATTTTATTAAAATAAAACCATTTAAACTGGGTGTTCGGATTTATATGTCACTTAGTATACTAACCAATGAACAACATGGTCTATGTAATAATAAATCCACCACTACAGCGATATATTCATTTTATGGAAAACTAATTGATCTGATTAAGGCTGGTAAATCATTTGTGATCTCAGCAGGGCATTTGACTGTGTCAGTCAAGAAATATTGTTGAAAAATCTACATGATTACTGAATTACTGCCAGTTCTCTCACATGGATCAAACCTTTTTTGGAAAATTGGTCACAATTATTTTTCTTTATTACCCAATTATGGTACAGAAATAAAGCAAGTCCAGCCTTCTTGTGTTGATATTGATATGGGAGTTCCCCAAGGATCTATATTAGGACCATTTTTATTTATACTGTATATAAATGATCAGGGTGAACTGCTCAATTTCCAAGTAAAGTTTACATTATATGCAGACGATGCCTCAATTATAATTTCAGATCCTCACGATAATGTATTGGTCACTAAATTTAATGACATTTTGAAGCATTTTCAGAAATGGTTTGCACAAAATCAATTCTTTTTAAGCGCCGAGAAGACTGCCGTGTGCTGTGTGTAAGATTTCACTATGTTCAGAAGAAGTTAGATCAAGTTCCATGAAGATACTAAATTTTTGGGAGTATATTTAGATAGATATTTAAATTTTAAAGCACATTGCAAGTATATGATGTCAGTTCTAAATTCACATTCTAACATTTATAAAAATTAACGAACAGTTCTAAATGAAGATCAACTTATTAATCTATTCTATGCACAGGTTGAATCCAGGCTGAAGTACGGTGTTTGCTTCTAGGCTACATCAAGTGCAATGATAGATGTATTTCTATTCCAGAAAAGAGTGATGAGAGGAATGCCTAAAGTAAATAGTATGCATAGATGTAGTTGTAACTGTTTAAAAGATATAGAATACTTACTTTGCGTGGTTTATATTATGAATTGACTGTGTTAACATACGATTTTCCTAAGCTTCATTTTATATTGGAGAATGAAGCGTATAAATCTCCTCAAGTGTTACTCATATGTCACCTCGAACTTGAAGAAAGTGGTAATACAACAGAGATGAGTGTCCCTTTTATTAGTCATGGATGGCCAATGCTCATCCAAATCTCATCCTTCCTTAGACGTGTTACGCAGTTTCATATAAAGCTGATTCTAGGTATCAGTAGAGCATAATGATTGAGATAGGATGAAACGTATAGCTTCTCTAAAAAACAAATTTACTTTGGATTATCAAAAGGTTTTTTTTTGTCCAGAAGAGGATTTTAATAGTCAGCTTCAACAAGGCATATTTTATTACATTTTCTTGCGAGAACACATCTTCCTCAAATTGTAATCAACTACAATTTAAAGCCTTGAATAGCTGCAAAAACATTTCAAATACTTAGGGGTATTCATAAGAGGTCCTTCCCACTTCAGTTGGCCCACTTCAACATTTGTACCTAAATATGCCTTTATAAACTAAACATGACGAAACTATTTACTTCTAAAACAATTTATTTTCTCAAAAACATTTTAGATACACTCTAGTCGTAAAAAATACATATTTGACCTATAACTAATAGAACATCTGAACAAATAAACAATGTGCGAATAAATGCGCGAAGTTAACAAAGCAACAATTGAAAGATTACCATTGGGTAACATCACCTTTATTTTTTATTACGGCTGAAATTCTTTGGGGCATAGTGTTAACCAAGTTTTGGCAACAATTTGGTGTAAAACGCTCCCATATTTCTTGAAGCTTTTGTCTCAGTTCGGTGATTGTACGAGCAGGATGTTGTCGTATAACCTTTTTTATCTCGTGTCACAAAGTTTCAATAGGTGACAGATCTGGACTGCTAGAAACCTATTTCAAAAGTGGTACATTATTTTCTTCCATCCATTTTATAACCTTTTTTGAGGTATGGCACGCTGCACCATCTTGCTGAAACACAACATCTTGGCCGGATGTCAAACATTCTTCCATCACTGGTAAATGCGATTCTTCTAAAATTTCCAAATATTTGTTTGTATCCACATTTCCATCAATAAAATGAAGTTTTCCTACTCCTTTTGATGACACACTGCCCCAGACCATAATGGATGCTGGAAATTTCACATTTTTTTGCGAATAACTCTACTGCGACTATCACCAACACAAACTTCAAATCGGGCCTCATCACTCCATTGTATTGCACACCATTGTTGAGGTGTCCATTGTCTATGTTCTTTAGCCCATCTAAGCCGATTTTTCTTTTGCAGTGGAGTTACAAGTGGCTTTTCTTTGGCCTATAAACAAGTTGTGCAACTTTAAGGTTTTTGCTTCAATTTTTTTTATAAGAAAACTTACCTTGCAAGTGCAATCCCAGATTGTGGGCCTCTCTATGAGTCGTGGACCTCGAAATTCTCCTTCCAACAGCGTCACTCTACAGAGCACTTAGTTGTAAATAATTGACACGCCTGTTTTTCACGATTATTCTTCTTAATGCTCTTCGGTCGGCATTTGTGATATTACTTTTTTTCACATATCGTGGGTTAATATTAACTGAACCAGTTACGTTATATCTTCTAACAATATTTCTCACACTGTACCGCAATAAGTCTAACAAAGTTGCAATTTCTGAGTTTGAAATGAAAATGATATGCTGTAATTGCAACATGTGTTATTTTTATGCTGCAAATTTGATTAGGGAGTGATAAAGTTGGTGTTTTGTACTATATATTATCAAAATATTCATTGTTAATATTTTAAAGCTATAAAACCCTGCTACATTTTTATTATTTGTGTTTGATAAGAAAAAAACTAAGATTTCAATAGATGGGCCAACTGAAGTGGGAAGGAGCTTGTAGATGAGCATTTAAGAAGAAATGTACCCGTTGAACGTTTCAGATAAAAACTTCATTCAAAAAATCAAACATTTTAGCAGATTTTTTGGCATGTGGTGGAGTCATGAAAAATTATTATAAAAAAAATGAAAAAATACCGCAGAAGTAGATTTTGAAGGTTATGTTAAAAAAATGGACTGTTATGTCACAGAACATATGTACTGTGAATCTCAGCCTTTCGACTGCCGGCAAATATATTCTTATCATACCATAATATATTTAATAAGAAATCCAAAATCGATATATTCTGTTAGACGCAATCATCAAACGCGATTCAAAGAAATATCTGCACTTAGCCCTAGATTGAATAAAGCTATCAGCAAAAGATCATTTTACAGTCAAAATTAATATGTTATTTGATAAATTTGTATACTTTTATACATTTGACCAATATACTTATAGGAAATCTGTTGTAATTGTGTAACTCATAAATTCATTTTAAGCTCAAGCACAAGTACATTATACTGTTTCGGGATCTTGTTCAGTTGGATCAATAGACATATTATTATTATTATCATTATGAACAATAATAATTTCAACTGCAATGAATCCAGCACATCCTTCTCATTAAGTTTCAAGGAATAACAAACTAGGATAATCGGTTTTTCAGTTTTAAATCTTCTGTGTCACTGACCAAAAAAATTGAAAAAGCGAAGTTGCCTGAACGAGAGAGTTTATTCTTAAAAACGATAGAAACAGTGACTCTATCTAAAGAAAAGCTAAAATCCTGACACAAATCTGGCACCTGTAATAGTTCTTTTTTATCTGAATTATTGAAAGACAACAGAAATACAAACACGACAGCAGTAGTTCAATGTTTTGGTAAATTAAGTGTTGCGAACTGCAATAGATTCTCAAGTAATATAATTATCAAATAAAATCCCTTCAAGATGATAAGGGGATATTCAGTTCATTATTAGTAAAATATGGGCTACAAGCCGCATCATTTTTCTATTGGAGTGACCTATGTAAAATGCGTTATCTAGTACAGTATAAGCTTAGATATGGGATTTTATCGTTGATCCTTCCTGGGCAAATTCACCAGGTTAGCGAAATCTATTGCGCATAAAGACATATTTAATCGGTTTATGCTGGATAAAACACTAGCAAAAACAGTCATGTATTGTACGCTTCAGTTCAAGACTGTCAGGTTAATATTACCATGGAGTTGTTCAATATCCAGTTCCCAGATTGTTGGCATAGATATACAGCGTTTCAAATACTTTGTCAGCAGCCAGACATATGATTCTCATATTTTCAAATTCTGTGGGTGTACTTTTTCAGCATAATCGATGACCATGAGCCAATGTCCTTTGTTACTCCTTCAAACAGCCTGATTTTAAACCTAAGCAGCTACCTTAAAATATGGTTGATCAGTTCATTACCAATAGAATCAGATCGTTTGAAGAATTTCTTTCAGTCAGCTGCTAGCGAATGCAGACTCATTACTATTACTAAGTTGCACCTTTGAAGGTCACATCCATCAAGTTCAATTACCTGTTCTATTCATATACGGCTATTTGTAAACAATACATCAAACTTTGCATAATTCAGATTCAGTTCACACTGACAATATAAGGAAGTCATCTGGTTTTTTGCTTCTTTATATTAAGAGTTTTTGGTTTTGGTAGGTCAGTACTTGGGTTATGTCATGCTTTAATTCATTATAAGATTCTACGTTGAATTTCAATATGAGTATTTTGACGTATTAAAGCTATAGAAGTACATTAAACGAAATTGCTGTTGTGTGATGCACTTATAATTTCAAGAGTTTCATACTGCCTAAGTGTATATGGCCCAGCGTTAATGAAAAGTGATAAAGACATGTTACAATTGCTACAAAATTCTTGCAATCGTTTTTGTCTAGGTATACTGGAATTTGATCATATAAGCTATGTGTACAAAGAGAAATGTAAAATGAAAAAACTAAGTTTATGTTTGGTTCATAAAATCTATTGAATAAGAAACCAGAATATCTTTTAAATAGACTCAATAAATTTGAAAACATCAATAACTTGGCTACCAGAAATCGACAATTATTAAATAGTTATATCTAAACACTTTACATTTTTCTGCAATAAGAGCTTCTCTTAAACTGCTACCAAGTTGTACAGTAGTTTTGACATAAACTGGACACACGATATATTTGTCTACTTTTACAAAGAAACATATAAATATATAGTAAAAGATCGCTGATCACTTTTTCATTATTCACTTTTGAGAGGTTCAACAAGGTCAACTTCATGTTAGGATGTACAGTTGAGTTGAAAAATACCATCATAGTAACACTCCACAGATTCGATTCTCAAAATGTTAGTGACTTATCAATGCTTATTGTTGTATGTTGGACACATTATGTAAAAGATTCGAGTATTATTATTAGGGAAGATATTTAGTAGGTGGGAGGTGATTTCTGTGAAAGCTTGTTTCTTCACTCAACCTTAAAAAAGTTTATACCAAAAATGAAGTTGTGACAAATATAACTCATACCGTAAAAATATATCGGGACTTCCATCAATCCTTACAAATTAGGAGAAACTATGGGATATGAAGTTACTCGATCTACTAAACAGAATTAAGTGCTGTAAAATTGCGAGTCTATTTAGACAAAATATCCTGTAGCTTCACAAGTAGCAACCCAAACTCTACAGTATGATTTCTCCTTTCAAAAGGCCTCCCAGAATATGCTAAAATATATAAAATAAATTGAAATTTTTTTTGTGCTGTCACACAGTAGACGCGAGCTGCGCGGGATCGAATCCCGTCCCAAAAAAATTTTTCTCTTAGCTGTGGATGTTAGTAAGAGGTGTATGGTCTCAGGCTATCGAACATGAAGGTACCACCCAGCGAATCTCTAAAGCGAGACCTGAATGTGTACGTCACACGCATACGTGTACCGTTATAGACGGTACCCACGGGTGTTTAGGCTTTCGTGGTCGTTGAAGTATAAAAAAAGTAAATAGATCTCCTCTACGTGGTAGCTAGTGACATATTTTAGGACTAAAAGCCGTATACGGGGTTTCCAAGATAAGGATCCTATGCATGTGCTCTCAGTACCTGTAGAAGATACAGCTTAGGTTAAATTAGAAAAATTCCATTGAAAAGCTTGTAATAATTTCATGGCGCACTGAGGTATTTGGGAAAAACTAACATTTGGCCAAGTACTTTTTGTTTTTTCATGGCTTTAGTTTAAGAAATATCAAAAAATAATAAACTTTTTCATTAGCACTTTTTAGGCACTACGAGATAGTGTTTTTAAATTATGTGTCCGAAGTTTTTTTTTGAGAAACTATCATCAACTTTATTTTTTTAAATGGTCCGTAAAAACGTACATCCTGTATTTGATAGTAACTTTTTCTACAAATTCAACAATTCATCACATGTTACATTTTTTGTCTTAGTTATAAAGTGAAATGCATTTTTGTATTTTATTCAAGTAGGCGTTGCAGTCAAAAGCTAGATGTATGATTATGCATATTACATATAGCATAACGAGATGATGGGACAAAATTTTATAAAATGAAGCTTAATGTAGTGATGCTCATAATAAGGAATGCATTTTTAACATTATTTTTATCTTATCTACAATAGGTAATAAATATGATCTCGTAAAATTTTTGGCTTAATCAGACTCAATGCTTCCGGTATACAGTTTCGTAAATGCTACTCAGTTTCAAAAGTATGTTGATAAACTTGGTTCTTAATAAAACCCCAAACAAAACAGTCAAAAGGATTGAAGATACCGTTCTGCAGTTAATGAGTTGTGGTAAATAAGTGGATCGAATAATTTTTCCATCCACACCACATATTAAACCCAAGTCCAGTAATGTGTGTTGTGGTAATTGAAGATACCATTATTAGTGACCATACTCACGTCTTACCGTATCGTTTTTGAATGGAAATTAAAATCGTCTTCACACGTTCTTGTGTAGCACTCCCAAAAATGCTGGTACCGTTCGCTACCTTCTGGTCTGGAAGTCCTTGGCAAATCCTGAATTTATAGAGGTGATATCTATTTTTACGCAAAATAAATTGGGCAGTGGATTTGGCTACTACTAAATTTTGCTCAATTAGCCTGGTTGATATCTCAC